GCTCTTCTGATATCTGGCAGTGATCCATTTTTGGACGACGGTAATTAATGTTTTGGAACTCTTAATGCTTAAACATTAACTTTAATTGATTCAACAGCGTTGAATGTGCATGAATTAGGTTTGGATTGCTGATTAGTGTTGGCAGTTGCGGCTGGTTGGTTTTGGGGATTGATAGGGTTAATGCAATTTACTCTCAGATTCCGTGGAAATGATGAATCGCAGCATCATGAAGTCTTTCAAGCTATGAAATTGTAGTGGATGAGGTTGAACTAAGGATTAGTAATTTTGTTTTGGTGGTTAAAGCTTGGAGTTTGGTTCTGAACAACTCAAATGTATTTTGTATCTAGTTTTAGATTATATATTGCTGGCCAACAAATTTCATTGCTACCATTTTGGACTTGCACAATTTGTAGTTAAGAAAATCATGATCATCTTAATTATTTGAGTCCTGCATTTTCAATTTTAGCAGCTGAGTTGGAATGGTTACTTTTCTTGATTACATACATTGAATTCTTGATCCTTGCTTAATTTAGGGAAGGAGTATCTCCTGTGTACTGTTCTTTTGTTTTCTATTTCGTGAGGCTTTATTCAATCAGGTAAGTAGTTGATTTTGTGATAGAAATATCATTTAAAATCTGAAAATTTTGTTTATGTGGTTTAGGTATTGTTGAAGTGATAATATTGACTAAAAAATCAGTTGTTGCCAAATTGAGTTCACTTAAACAATTTAACATGTAGAAAATTTTTCTATTTAAGAATGCAATCAAATATCTAATTTTTTTGCCAGTTTAAAATATATATTCTCCATGCCGGAATGTCCTTCGGGTATATTGAGATTTGAAAGTTTCTTGTACACTCTTACTTCATATTAATGCTTGACTGTAATTTGTTTAGATATATTGCTATGCTGTACTGTTTCTGTAGTTATTCTATTTGGCTTGACTTCTGTTAGGTGTTTTAATGCACCAGGAGTACAGTGTGCTTGATTACGAAGAGAAAGTGGTTGATGGTTTCTATGATGTGTATGGGCCTTCCACAAATTCAGCACTCCAAGGAAAATTGCCATCTCTTGCAGATCATGAGACAAATCTTGGGAATTATGGCTTTGAAGTTGTGATTGTCAATCGAACAATTGACCCTGTCTTAGAAGAGTTGGTGCAAACTGCGCATTGTATTGCATTAGATTGCCCTCCTAGTAATGTTAGTGTTTTAGTCCAAAAGCTTGCCGAATTTGTCACAGGCAATATGGGTGGACCTGTTAAGGATGCTAATATAATGTTGGCAAGGTGGATGGAAAGGAGCACGGAATTGAGAACATCTCTTCATAGTTCATACAAGTTTGTTGCCTATTGGGTCCATTAATTTAGGATTGTCTCGGCATCGTGCCTTACTTTTCAAGGTTAGTGATTTTGTTTTTTTGCAAATAATTAGGAACTCACGTAGCTTTGTTGAAAGTAATGTAGAGCATATTACGTAGCTTTGTTGAAAGTAATGTAGAGCATATTATGATTAACTTGCTTATGTGGAAAATTTGAAGATTTAATTAAAATAAGATATAAGAACATGGTTAAAATAGCCTTTTCTTCAACCTCTCACCTAACCCTTTCTCAGTTTTTCTTCTTTCTCTCTTTCATCTCTCAAATCAGCCTTACTCTTAGATGGAAAAAGAAGAATTTTTTTTTTTTCTGGTTTACTCAAAATGGCTACACTTAGAAATCTAAGTTTTCTCGAGAATCAACA